TACAATTACTCCTAAACATGGTGTAATAAGCAAAGTGAAATCAATATATGGCATATTTATTTTTTATACGCTGATATGACAACGGTTTTGTCATTGCGTTAACCCATTTGAAACTAGCAATATTATAAATTAATTTCAAAATAAAAAAATTTTGATTTCAAATCAAAAAATAATTGTTTTAGAAATTAAAGAACAAAAAGAAAAAATGAATCGTTTAAAATGCCCGATGCTTGCTGTTTATGCAGAAGCACCCACAACAATGAGGTAGAAATCTTTCGTGTGCCAATAGATGTTACGCAAGGAAGGCGTGTGGTGTTAAACTAACTGGATCATCGAAAGTTTGCGCTCTGCACTTCAAGTCGAATGATATCATTTATGCAAGTATGAGTTGCGTTCGAGATGCTTCACGATTTGCAGGTTTTTACAGGAAGTCGTTCCAGGTGACCACCTCCCATAAGGTTTATTAATGGAGAAAACAGCTGTTCCTGCAAATCGTGAATTTCGTGAATATCGCATCTGGAACGCAACTATTAATGCCAAGAGAAGACGCCTCGATCCAGATGCAGTACCATCAAAGATGTTACCTGTTATTTCATCAGATGAGAGGTAATGATCAAAGTGTGGGTATGTTCTCAAAAGCATTAGTGCAAAGGCATATCGTGAAAATAACGTCCAATAACTACAACCGCAGTGCGCCAAACAGATGTGAAGTATCGTATAAAACTTATACTTTCGCCAATTTAGTAATAATAGATGGTCCTGATTTGCAGTAATTAATTTGAGAAAGAATCCTTAATCTTAATGTGTATATATGTATATACATACATGGGGAAATATTTTGAGATGGGGACTTTCTGCGTACTGGCATATTGTTTCCGAGACAAAGCAGCTGCACTGCCAAGTGCGGTTTCTGCACCTTCGTCAAACCTATTTATTTATATGTGTAAATATCAGTAAATAGTTATTCACAAAAAAACTACGGTTTAATGACTAATTTATTTGCTAAAATCGAGAAAATCAGGAAATTTCTAGTGCAACTCGCATAAATTCTAAAAAAAAAATATTGTAAATATTGAAAAACACCCTATCACAGAATTTAGTTGATGAACGCCCTATGTCGGAATTCGGTTCCAAACCAAAGCCAAAAGGGGGTTAATGTAAACAAATATACGAATTTTTTACATTTAAATTTTCAAATAAGCGTACGTCAAATATTGATTTCACTTTGTTTACTACATTATGCTCCTAAAGTAATGCAAAGGGAAAGTTAAATTTTTGTGAAGGCATTCTAAAAGACTAAAAAAATATTTTTATAAAAATCAAACGAGGGAACCCCGGTGTACTTTTTTATCATCTACGGATTAACTATGTTCCAGTTACTTCTTTGATAGAACTTTTTTTAAATAGCTACAATTTTCAAAGTGTTGCACGTAAACTAATGAAAAAATAAAAACTTACTAGGACCATTTACCTTGAATATAAAAATAATTTTAAAAAGTTACATCCACATATACTATAATTAATACAGGGCTGCCACGAATGACTGATTGAGGTGCTTATGCGAAAGAAAGCGGACAATATTTTTGTTACAAACTAACTCATCTAACATCTATCTCCCAACGGTCCAAACCCGTTGTTGTTGTTATTGAACCACTACAAAGCACTGTCTAAATTGGCTAGTCTTTAAATTGTTAACGTCAAGCTCAATTAACGGTAATCTCATCAAACCTGCTGTTTTCACAGGGTCGGAGCAAAAGTGAGCAGTGTTTGATGAGTTTCTTTGAAGGGCAAGGTGAAGAGATGGTTGGTGTCGTGGGGAGAATCTTCACTAGCTATACATATGTTGGATATGTCGGGATTGAGCCTTAATAAGCACGATTTAAGTCCGATATATATTCAAACCCTAGTTGTGTCGGTGGTTGCTTAAATTACAACATCGTCGAGTCAAGTGGTTATCTAATGTATGTATGTCTGGAGGCTCTGCTTACAGGATGCGCCCAGCGTTAGCATAAAATTGTGGTTCCTAACTCCTTCGTTATGTATGTAAAAATGGTTCTAAGGTGACATCAGTAGGCATCCCGTTTCTGTTCAGAGTGCAATACGCTGACTAACCTGTATCTTTGCACAAAGTGCGGACGGCTGGCGATTTGAGGAGCTTGTTGCGATATTTAGCCTTACTGAAAATTACGGTTGCGTTTGTGGTCTCCTTTTCCAAGTTTTTAATGGTAACGTGTACAATTTTCGGGCCATTCACCGTCGGAATTGGTTTTCCATCGACGATGATGACTGATTTTGTTTGGGAGGGGGTTAGGCTCCGTGTAGTGAAAAAGCGTGAAAGATGGTTCATCAAAAACTTCGTACGGTGCCTGAGGACGCTGCGAAATATAGAACTTGTACAGAAGGAGAAGTAGGACACCACTCTGTGGGACCCCCTGTTTAATTCTTCTTGCTTTTGAGGTTTGTTCGTCCACCGTTTTAGTACCAGCGGGAGTAAGAATGATGTAATGTCCGAAAGCGTCATGTAATGGCAGACGGGGTTAAACGGCTTTAACAGGTCCGACGATACCAGGACAGTTCTCGAAAGACGGCTACGTTTTAGATCTAGACGGTAAGAGCTGTGGTGTTGCTGTGCATTTTATGAACGCCATGATAATGCTCCGCTGGAAACTGATGGCACATGTAGTACGGAAGTGACAAGACCTCAAGTGTCGTCAGTACTGGGAAAAGGAGAGCTATCGGCCGATAAGAATCCCCTTTGTTGGCTGGTTTCCCCGGATTGAATAGTGGGAATAACCTTTCTGATTCGCACTAGGATCTTGCTGATGTATTCTATTCGCGTTGGAACCGATTTTTTTCAGCATCAGAATGAATATTCCGTTGGGACCAAAAGCTTTGGAAGCTTCCGCTTTCCCGATGTCTAACTTGTACACTGTTTTTGTTTGGCAGATCGCACATCACTCGAAATGCGATGAAGCGTGATCACCAAATGAAATTTCTACTCTACCATCACACTTCGTCGGATTGGGCGGACACCTAACGGTTAGCCAAAACGTACTCAAACCAGTGGTGAAGTTGCATGTTCCACAACGTGTACGTTTTTTCGAGTGGGAAAGGCTATGTTGTTGTTGCAACAGCATAAAAATTCCCCACGGGGGCTCTCGGTAACGGTGGATTGAATTAAGGCCGCGTTCTCATTTTTTCTTCGGCTTAATTTCATTTTTTGATCGCTCCCTAATTTAACTTTTCAAAATAAATTACAGTCAATCAATAAAGTTACAGAGAGTTTCTTGTAATATTTTAGTTTTCGCAAAATTTTTATAAGAATGTGGTTAATTCTTCAACAAAAAACTCAAAACTTAAAATTTTACACCTATTGCAAAAAATTCTGCAAATTTTCTTTTAAATATTGCACTTTTTATTTACACTCTTTAGAAAAAAATTATGGGCTAAAAACTGCGTACTCAACTTTTTTCTAAAAATTGTAAATAAAAAGTGAAATATTTGAATGAAAATTTGCAGATTTTCTTAAATTTTGCGCAAGGCTTGGAGCTTGATTTTTTTTGGTTTTTGTTATAGAATTAACCATACTTTAAAAAAAAAAGTTTGCGAGAAATAAAGCATTTAAAAAACAGTTGCCCGTATTGTAAAAAAATTCGCTGGACGTAAATTTTATTGACTGGCTGTATACCTGCTCAAAAATACTGTAGATGGCGTAACCGGAGTTGGACTGATAGGGTTATTCTTGCTAAGCTCGGCCGAAGGCCGCCATCGCGAAATGTGTTCGGCTAGAACATACTGCGGATGGCTTAACCCGAGTTTACATTTTCAATGACAAAATGCTAATTTTACCTCATCTGCATATGGGTCCACAAGGGTCTGGACTGTGCTCTTTATAATGCGGGGGGTTTTAGGTGTCACACCCTCTCCCTCCGCCCCAAACTAATTCAGTTCCAAATTCAGTTTTAGATAGCAGCCTAATTTCTATTTTCAAAATGAATTAAACAAGCGGGACTTATTTAATTTTTGAATTGCGGTTTTAATACATGCGGCCATATTTCACGGAGCCCTCAGTAACTTCCGCTAACTCGCNATTTCGTTGTTTACTTCCATTTTTTTTTACAAATATAAGGTTATTTGCTTTCACCGCTTTCTGTATTTGTTTGCACATGCAAATCAGCTGATCGTTTGACACTTTTCATGAACTTACAGGAAAAGAAACTCCGGACTAAATCCTGTAACTTCTGACTAGGAACAGTTGCTCAGTTACTCTCTCAAAAGTGTTCCCACTTACAGGTTTTATGTCAATAGGAACGACTTCCTGTAAGTTCTGACTAAATCCTGTAAACCGGACTGCTATTGGAACAGACTAACTGCGGATGGCTTAACCCGAGTTTACATTTTCAATGACAAAATGCTAATTTTACCTCATCTGCATATGGGTCCACAAGGGTCTGGACTGTGCTCTTTATAATGCGGGGGGTTTTAGGTGTCACACCCTCTCCCTCCGCCCCAAACTAATTCAGTTCCAAATTCAGTTTTAGATAGCAGCCTAATTTCTATTTTCAAAATGAATTAAAAAAGCGGGACTTATTTAATTTTTGAATTGCGGTTTTAATACATGCGGCCATATTTCACGGAGCCCTCAGTAACTTCCGCTAACTCGTAGCTACGGTGGCCCGCGGGCTTATTGCTCGAAGTGATTGTGTGTGTAGGTGGTCCTGCGCTAGCTTCTTGTCTTCGTTCATGGTACAGGAATAAATCTGCCGTTTCCTGGCCCTACCTTTGGATAAAATTGTCGATACCACTTAGTGGACTAACTAACTTAGGCAGCGTTTAGTAAGATGCTACAAAAACCGTTCCCACGACAGTCGGGTCTACGTAACCGGAACGACCCAGATTTATATCTGGCCAAGGACTGTCACTCCAGCAACACTCCCCAAAAAGTCTTTGGGGAATTTGTATGCTGCTACAACAACAACAACATGCTACAAAAACAAGGCTCTGTTCTTGCTCATTTACTTAAATAATAGGTATTTATTTTAATTTACAAATAGCATTTATTTCAAAAACCAATTTTCCAAAAGAGAATAAATAAAAATCATTAGGCTCAACTACCACGTCAACCGAGTAGCATGATCTGTTTTGCGTTTCGACATTTTGATGTATCCCAAAAATTGCAGTTCGGCTACAGCACGCGTGAAACGAGCTCTGGAATTAAACGATAAATTAGTTAATATAAGAAAATACTAAAAATAAAATTAAGTTATTAAAAATGAAATGATACGATAATAGAAGTATAATTTTTATAACATGAAACTATGTATGTATGTATGCTCCAAAATATTTTTAGGGGAACGCAGAGGCAGTAGCTCACTACTATTTTTAAGTTTCAGTTTGTTCTAATTGCACCGGATGTAGCCAACTTACTGAATTTGTGGATCAACTTGCTCGCGCTCATTTTCAATATCATCTACCACCGATCGAAATGCTTGCAACCAGTCGAAGAGATTTATCATACGTCCACATTCCAGATGCAGTCTATATGCCACAGATAAATCCGGCAAAGTGGCCAATAACTGTGTCGACTCAGACAATTGGCAACATTTACATTGCAAGTAGTAGTTTGGATTGTTCAGTGCCATATGCAGTGCTGCTCGAGGTGCGCCAATGATATTACGACGCACGGTGGACAAATCGCTGAATACGAATAGCTCATGCAATGGAGGAGCGCGTGTAAGTGGCGCCAGATGAGGTACTATAATCTCATTTTTTATATACAACAGCGTTTGCGCCACAGCTTGCGCGAACTCTGAAGTGGATTTATTCTGCTGCTTGGACTTTTGTAACAAATGCTCTTTGAGATCTTGACGTGAGGTGAATTTCTGTTTATTAGCATCTGGCGTCGATGGCGTAGAGGAATAGTTATTACTAGCAGCAGCGTTGGTCGGTGATTTCTCTTCCATACCAGCCATTACAACCTTCGACAAATTATTCTTTACATCTTGCAATTTGGCATTAACTGTTGTCATGCAGTCGTTGGCTAACTCTAGGCTAGTGATTTCGGTTCGCATAAAATCTTCAGTTACTGAGGTTGCTTTAGATATTTTTGCAACAAATTCATCTTTGGACATAAAACCTAGCAATTGCCAACATTCCTTGAACTCCGGTTGCTCGCATAGTTCTTTGGATAAACATACAGCGTATAATTCACGGCGCTGCTTACCCAGCGGACATTTTGGTAAATCACCCACCAACACAGCGAGGAATTCTAGAAATATTCGTAGTATCATAAAATGGATATGACAGTCGCGTAACAGTTGTGGCAACTTCTTTTTCAAATAGTTATCGTCAGTAAGTATGGCAATGATGCGCTTACAATCGTTGATGCCCTCCACATATGGACGAAATGAGAGCAAACGACGTATGCTTTCAACATCATCATGACTTAACGCTTTTATTTGATTCAGGGATGTCGAATAATTGGAGCAGAGCGCATAGGCATTGCCTTGAAGAAAATGCTCCATTAGACAGTATTTATAGCCTTGAATGAAGCCATGAATGGAAAAATCGTAATACAGAAAGATGTGTGTGAGAAACTTGAAGGCTTTGCCCGAGAGATGGAAGGCATATCGTGGAGAGAGAATAACATGTTCCAGAATCTGAAAGTTAAAAATTGAACAACATAAATAACATATTTACAAGATATATTGGGGAACATACTAGTACTTTAAAAATCATTGTGCATGTATTCATTCTAAGATAATTTTCCCACTATGTAATTACCTCGTTTAAGCAAACAGGAGCCGTTTGTGTCTTAAATACACAGAGCTTTACTTTGCTGGTGACGTGATAAGGCAGTGCATTATGAATAGCTGAAACAGCAGTTGCTACGCCAAAAATCAGTACAAAAGGCAAGTGTGTCCGATATGCACTCAACATAAGAATAAAATCTTGTAGTATGCTCGCATTGAAACATTCAAAATCAGGTAAAACAACTATTAAAGCGTGCGACCACTCTGCGGGGTGTTTTTCTGATAAGATAATTTCCTCAAAATGCTCGTCATTTGAGTCGTCTACTTGCATCTCCTCTGGCAATCCCCGCTTTCCGTATTTTCGTCGATACCACTGCAACAAATGGCGCATATTACACTGCGTACGTCGCAAACGCTTTCTTTCGCGCCGATCCACATCTTCGTCTGCCAATTTCGTTTGTGACGTTGACCGTTCTGCCGTCTCTATGAAATTGTATACCATAGCCTCCACTGCAGACTTCAGTGTAGAACAATCTCGCGATTGCAACATGCACACTGACGCTGACATTTTTTGTAACAATCGTTGAGACAGTGTAGCGAACTGCTCCAAGTGGTCAGGTTGATTGACACCTTGCAAAGGTAATACAAGTTATTCAGTTTGTATATCTAATAAAAATATTTAGGCATTACTCACCGGTTAAAAGAGCTGCAGCGGGCACTATTTCTTCCATGTCATATGTGTCCATAGCCCCGTCGGTGCTGCATTCTTTTTGAATGTATTTAACCACATCTTCTAGAGTTTTTGTATAGCTTTTGGATTGAAGCTGTTCAATGTGACTTTCCAATTTTTGCCAAGTGTCCGCGTAAGTTGTGTAGAATGGCTGACTGGTCATTTGGCTTCGCAATGCGGTTGCATTATCCTCCTTGAGCTTCCGTTTAACGGCGCTTTTCCCAGCTGCAACGCCTTTAAAAACGAAGCAACCCTATTTTGTGTTGGAATGGTAAAGGTAGGTATAATTGCGGAAAGTTAGATAATAAACAAAGGAAAACAAACCTTGGACACTGAAATAGTTGGATCCATCACGACGTGCTTAACAAAAGTCTCTAGTGAAAAATTCTTAGGAACTATTTAATAGTAAGCTGCACAAATGTGTTTACGTCTGCAGAGTGCTAGTAATAGTTTATTCACTCTACAGCAAAAGAAAATAAAATATTAAATAATGCAAGCCAAGCAAAATCAACTCTTTCCGCGTTTAAAAATCGCATGCAATAATTCGAATAAACAAAATGACAGCTGTCCGTACGAATTAAATCTTCGCGCCAATCGTCTGTCAGCTGTTGCCTGTGTTGCTGTTGTCCGTTTTCGGAATCGATGTATCGCAGCTAAAGGGTTCTGCAAATTAGTTTCTTTTGTGAAAGTAAATAATTTTACTTTTTTCTAATTTTCCTTTCAATATCTTTCTCTGGACCAATTCTTTAACCCTGGCAGTGAACAAGCTGGCTTTTCCAGAGGAGATTTGCATGTTTTGTCCAATGAAGTGCCGATGTACATTTACACATACATATGTACTTCCCATGAGTTATTTGTTAAAACGATTGCACAAGTTGTCATTTGCATAAAATTTCAGATTTTTTGCATATTTCGGCGCCGAAAAGCATGACGCGTAGATCTAATCTCTCACCTGGCAGATTTTATATGCGAAATTAATTTCGAAATGTGGCAAAAAGTGCAACTAACGCCTGATTCTATCAAAGAACGATTCTATTATCGGTTTTACACAATCCAACATATATGACAGCTTGCCAAAGAACATCTTCTCTGAAGTAAGCTCCGCTATTCACCGGTTTACGTGAGAGAGCGGAATCTCGCAATGTGTATAGGAAATCGCTTGCATTAATTAATTGTCACTTTCTTGTTAACTTACATGTTTTTTTAATATTACCTTTTATTGCAACTCTGCCGCAACTGATTGTTTTTGTAAACTCGGCGACAGCATATTCATTCTGCGAAATTCTTCAACAATTGCAAATTTTCTTCTTAAAAAGTGTTAAAAATATTATCAAAAGAGTTTTTAAATGGATTTAGATGATTTGGATATCTATAATGATTTGGACACATTCCAACAAGAGGAGGAAAAAGTGAGAAACAACCTGATTTGGTGTAGTACACTTGTCCGAAATGAATTGCATTGTTCCTTTATAGAAAAGCGCCGAGCTACTTTCATTGGAATCGAAGTATAATGACTCCTTGAAGACAAATGAAGCTTTGCAGGCTGAAAATGCTGACTTGAAAAAACAAATAAAGCGAATAGGTATAAATTTTCAGAATTTGCTCGACACAGCAAAAGCAGAGATCAGGCGCAAAGATAAACAAATCGATCAACTGCGCAAAGAGTACGTGCTTACGAGGAGCTCCACATGAAAATAAAAATAAATTTTATTGATCATTAAATATTTTACTTTACAGGAAGGATGATATCTGCTTCCGACGTAGGCAACCGCACCACGGGGATGCCGAGATTGCTAGTGTAAATGATGGAATTAAAAAAGGTACAATAGAATTTCCACCACAACACTATAAAGCGGAATATAAGCGCAAAGAAGAAAATGGAGCAGTTCAAGAGCACGTTAGGTCAGAAAATAACGAGCACGTCTCTTCGTCGAACTATCACACAGCGGAAGCGCGTGGCCAAGTACGCATGCGTGAGGTTTATCAGAAATATGCGCGGCGGGGTGAAAGACTTGATCGAAAGCAGGAAAGCGATTTAAGTCGTGATCAAGATAGGCGATATCACACGAAAGGAGATCACCATGAGTCGACCAGGCACAGGGCGCGTAGTAGAGAGCGTCAAAACAGTCATCGCAACTCGACAAGAGAATACAGTCGAGGCCATGATGTCAGAGCAACAGAACGGCTACGTAGGGAAGGGCGCGACGGTAAACAGAAGCAAAGTAATTCAAAGGAAAAAGAAATGGAATCGCATAGTAGTAAGAGTGATGACAACGGAAGGCGTCTGCATTCTAATGGTAAATGGAGCGATCGGCCAAGGTAAGTTTAGTAAATACATACAGTTTTGGCCAATACAATACCACCCCCATTTCAAAGTGATATTGTTTGCCACTCATGTTTATTTATTTATTTTTAAGAATTTTCAATTAAAATATAGTTCATTCTCTCACAAAACTCATATAAACTCAAGTTTAAAACTTTAAAAGACTGCAAAAAAGTGCAACAAATTTTCACCCAAATTTCAAACTTTTTTCTCAGAAGCGGTAGAATTTTTTTGAATACACAGTTTTATAGCCCATTCAATTTTAGTCTAATAATGTGCAAGTTTTAAGTGGCTAAAAATTACCGTTGATTTTTTAGAATTTTTTTCGCCGGGATGTTTTGAATACACAGTTTTATAGCCCATTAAATTTTAGTCTAATAATGTGCAAGTTTTAAGTGGCTAAAAATTACCGTTGATTTTTTAGAATTTTTTTCGCCGGGATGTTTTGAATACACAGTTTTATAGCCCATTAAATTTTAGTCTAATAATGTGCAAGTTTTAAGTGGCTAAAAATTACCGTTGATTTTTTAGAATTTTTTTCGCCGAGGATGTTGCGGGTTTCTGCCATATAAAAATAAATTGTGTTAAGTCGTTATATGGAAGCAAATGAGACAAAAAAATTCTAAAAAATCAACGGTAATCTTTAGCGACTTGAAACTTGCACATTATTGGACTAAAATTGAATGCGCTATAAAACTGTGTACTCAAAAAAATTCTAGATCTTCTGAGAAAAAATTTGAAATTTAAGGGAAAGTTTGTTGCGCTTTTTGCGGTCTTTTAAAAAGTTTAAAACATGGATTTATATGGGTTTTGTTAGAGAATGAACTATATTTTAATTGAAAATTCTTAAAAACATATAACTAAACATAAGTGGCAAACAATATCGCTTTGAAAGGCGGGTTCTATAGATATGTCCAATACTGTATATGTATGTACATATGTGATTCTGTGTGTCAACTACATAAATGATAACCCATCATATATACCTGACAACGAGGGTTTTTATGGTACTTTTTAAATGCACTAATTAAATAAAAATTTTGTTTCATAAAGGCACGACCGGGAATACAAATCAAGATTGAACAATACTGAGAACAGTCGTGGGAGAAAAAAGGCAATTGAAGATGCGAATAAAAAAATGCATTCGACCGATCATAGAGCTTGTGATAAAGTAAACAATTTGGAAAGAAACCAAAATACAGATCTTGTTAAAAGCTCGGTTAACAGTAAAACTCTTAAAGATATTCATGAAGTACCTGTTAAAGACGTTGCTGCGAGAAAGGAAAATGCAAAAGATGTTGAACTAGTGCCGACAAAGATCATCGAAAATGATGGTAGTTCCAAAAAGTCAAAAGATATAGAAGCTTCAACTAAAAAAGCCACTTTATGTATGAATATGCCTTCATCAAAAGCCGAAAAATCTATAGCACAAAACCCTCTAACAAAGGAAAAATTGTTGGCTCTGGAAAAGGAAGCGCATAAAACGCCAGCTGTTGGAATGACAACGCCAAAGAAGGCCGCACTATTTGACAGGCTCTTCGGTAGAACACCCAATAATACGGAAAGTGTGAACAGTGCTCTACTGAGTAATGTGATAGGATTGATAAAGAGCAGTAGCTCGATATCAACCTCACCAAGCAATTATACCGATACCAGTGAGCAAATCGCCCCAGCTCCGAAAACAAAGTTGCAAAATTCAAATTTTGATGAATGCTTTATACCTATTAAGCGGGATGAGAGCAAGCCATCTTTAGGGGGTGATAGTGTGGCATCAATAAGTGACAATAGTGAATTGAACGATGTGTACATTCCTGGTTTAGGTACAACACCGGTAAAAATTGACTTAGCTGTGGAACAAGAAACGGAAAAGAAACCAGCTAACAAAGGTAATGAGAAAACTTATACGTCTGAGGGGATGACTGCATGCGTGAGTAATGCCGCGGACACATTAAAATACAAACAAGTAGTAATTGAGTTGTCCTCCGAAGAGGACGATTTTATTGAAATTGAAAACGTAGCGCAGACCAACGATACGACAAATGTTAATAAAGTGATTCCCGATAAAGTGGTTTTCCAAGGGTTGACAGCAGTTCAACCAAATGTTAATGGTAATAAAGGTGTAATGATGTAAGTTTATCTTAATAATTTTCTGTGTTTTAGGGCATATACAAATTTTGGAAAATGTGCGACTACCTAACATATACGAAGTACGAGCGCAACAGAGGCGACTCAGGGAAGAGGCAGCTAAAAAAGTCAGCAGTATGGAAACTACAATTGTGAAACAATCCACTCCAGGGTCAACACCGAAGTCTACTACAACTGGTATTGAAGAGAAGAGAGCAAGCACTAATGAGGCAGCCGTATCTTTCAAAAACACGGCGATACATGTTGGAGGTAATAATAGTCCTTGTTCATTTTGTTTAAATATACCTTTATTAAAATGAGTATTATCATAAAACAAACAGGTGCTGATTTTCAACACCAAGACGCAAACTTTGCTAAAAACACAAACTTTTCGGAAACCCAACTGTTGGAGAAAATTTTTACGGGTAAAAGCGTAGGTGCTATTTGTGATAAAGTTAGGGAGGATATGCGCGATAGTAAAATTAATTACGTAAATTGCATGGAAGAGAAAAACGTACAAGCCAACTTAGAGCAATTGGAACCTGAATCTGAAATGTTAACTGAGACATCTTCAAACGATTCCACTATAAAGTCCGCTCCTAGAACATTAGAACAAAAGGATTCAATTTGCGATACTCCGGCAGATATTCTTTCAATTACGAACAAATCGGATGGTGTTATTTGCGATAGAGTTATGGAGGATATGCGCGATAGTACAATGAATAACGTAAATTGCATGGAAGAGAAAAACGTACAAGAAAAGTATGTTGATCAAATTATAAGTTCCGAGAATTCAGTCCTGTCAGAGGTGAAACCATTGGATACAAGTAAAACTAAAGGCAGCTCAGAGCACTTGAAGCCTAAATCTGAAAAGGTAACTGAGAAATCTTCAAACGATACCAGTATAAAGGCCGCTCCTAGCGAATTAGAACAAAAGGACTCAATTTGCGTTACTCCGGCAGATATTCTTCAAATTACAAACAAAACGGAGGGTGTTATTTGCGATAAAGTTAGGGAGGATATGGGCGATAGTAAAATGAATGACGTAAATTGCATGGAAGAGAAAAACGTTCAAGAAAATTCTGCTGATAAAACTAAAAGCTTCCCGAATGTAGTCCCGTCAGAGGTGAAACTATTGGATATAAATAAAATTAAAGCCAGTTTAGAGCACTTGGAACCTGAATCTGGGAACGAGAAACTTTCAAACGATACCAGTATAATAGAACAAAATGACTCAATTTGCAACACTTTGGCTGATAATCTTCCAATTGCAAACAAGGCCGATAGTCAAGGAACAAATAAAATAGAATCGGATGAAGTTGAAGAGCAGCCTGATTGCCATAGCACATCCAAGAAATGTACGATCTCAAATAAAACCAACGATTCAGAGCAAGGGGAGACAAGACGTCAAAGTAAAGGTGAGATACAAGTCATAAAAGCAAAAGACACAATACTCGAATTTGACGATTTGCATCTGGACTCGGCTGCCGTACAAGAAAATTCCGCAATATTTGAAAATAATACAAGATCTTCCGAAATTGGTGTAGTTAAAGAAAAAAAAGCAGGCAAAGTTGAAGCTAAAAAATCGGCTGTTCAAACAAAATGCACTAAACCGACGGAAAACTTAAAAGAAGTTGGAAAAACTGATGAAAGCGCTATTGAGCTTTCTAAGAGCAGCAATTGTAAAAGAGCGAGTTTGTCACAGTGTGAAGGCTTAGTCTACGCTAATATATCGGAAGTAACTAGTGGTATAGAAGCAAATTCTATGGCTCCAGCTGAAGCTGCTATTGAATTGGATAACGCCTCAGATAGTTTCTTTGCTAAGGGGTCATTACAAAAATCGTTGAATGAAGGTACGTCAATTGAGCAGAGAAAAAGAAATGAGCACAAAATTGTGAATGAGAAAGAAATAACTAACCCAGAGCAGGAATCACTTCATGAGCAGAAAAGGGGTCATAAGGAGAAAGCTATTCATGAGCAGAATGTTTCGCATGAGCAGAAATATGTTTATGAGCAAGAAATACTTAATGAGCTGAAAGTCGTTGAGGAGCAGACAGTTCTTCATGATCAGAAAATGTTTCATGAGCAGCAAACTGTTCAAGAGCCAAAAGCCCTACATGAGCAGAAAAAGGATCAAGAGGAGAAAGCTGTTCATGAGCATAATGTTTCGCATGGCCAAAAAGATGCTCATCAGCAAGAAATACTTAATGAGCAGGAAGCGGTGAGGGAGCAGAACGTTCATGATCATAAAGACCTTCCGGCGCAAAAAAAAGTTCAAGAGCATAACATTTGGCATAAGCAGAATCAGATAGATCGTCAGGAAATACTGCTGGAACAGAAAGTTGTCCCCAAGCAGAATATTAATGAAGAGCAGAAAGATTTGAATATCAAGAAATTGGGCGATACAGGAATCGATGATATGCAAAAGACGACTGAAGAACAACGTTCCAAAGTGATTGAAGACGAAAATTACACAAATAGCATAACTGAAGGTGCGAATTCGAACACAATTCGCACAGAGAATGGAGTCAGCTCAATTACGCAGCTGACTATTGAAGAAAACGTCTCAAAGCTAACAACAACAATCGATCACTCCGGCGAAATTTCAAATGATAATACGAATCTCGGTCTGGTGGCTGAACTCGTTGCAAATGAGAAACCCTTAGCGGAAATTAACAAAACAGATGTTGGCGCTGAGGAAACCGCAGTCATGGATGGCTCAAATTCACAAAATGAAATTAAACTAACGAACACGGAGAATATTACTGATGAAAGTGAAGATAAGGAACTCGAGGATGCAGTGTCTTATTTACTTAAGAGCATGAATGAGGAAGAGAACCGTTGTATTGGTAAAACGAAAGCAGAGGTCAGTCCTCAATGTGAAAAGCCCACAATAAAAGCCGAACACAAGCCAGTTGGCGTAGAATTAAAGAAAAATAAAAGCTTCGAAGCAATTGATACAACGAGTGGCGAAGTTTCGAAAACAAAGATCAAGGAGCTTTCGAAGAGCGTTAAACTGCCTGCCGAACATTGTGCGCTAATTGATAGCGTGAAACGCGCGGAAATCATGTGGAAATTTAAAATTCCAAAAATTGGTGCTAAACGGAAAAGGGAAAACTCCGAGGAGGCTAACAGTGTAAACGGGCTGACTGCTGTTAATGGAGAAGTCTCAAAAAATAGTGCTACAGATTGTGCTCAGTTTGGTGACAAAGTAGAGAAGCGTACAAAGCGGAGTAAGAATTCGAAAAAGGAGGAAAGCCATGCTATAAGACAAACGTTAATTTTGACGGAAGAAGAAACCAAGATTGTAGAAATAAACGCTATTGTTGAGAGGGAGCTGATAGATACGCGACTTCTAAATGGACGAACACCGGAGGAAGCGCAAGCATTGTCTGCTGAAAAGGCAAAAAGTGAGCGCATAATAAAAGAAATCGATAATTGGGCAAGGAGGAAGGTGGGCGATTCATCGGAAATTATCGAAAGTGTTATAATGCTAGACACTGCACCTGCACAGGAAACGACAACAAAGGTGGATAACGTGGAATTGCTGCATTCAAGAGAAAAAGTGGAGGTCAAACACATCGTAGACGAATGCAAATTAGTTGCAAGCTCGAAAAAAGTTCGAAAGAAGACAGAAGAAATAAATGCTAATCGAAGTAATGCAGCTGAAGGTGAGAGCGGAAAGTTATTAGCTAATAAGACTGCAGGATCGACGGAAGAGTTGGAAAGCGAATCAAGCCACTTACCAAATAAGCGTTTTAAATACGGCGAAACAGCCGATAAAACACTTACAAAACAAAAGACTGATGAATACAAACCTGCAATGAATCTTAAAGAGAAATCGCTATGCCTTAAGGAAGTTGAAACGTGTGATGGAGAGAACAAGAGTCAAGAAACAGAAAATGAACAGACTAGTTGTTCTGAAGAAAAACCTGCTAAAAGCAATCAAATGAGCGACGGAAAAGACTTGCGTGCAGTTAGCACGAAAGTTAAACAACATCGCAAGTGTCAATTGACTGAGAAACCGCACTCTTCACAAACTAAGAATGGTTCAACAAATACTGGAAACGACCCGAGTCTGGCTGGCGGCGAAAAAAATGTGCCCGTTCAAAATCAGTTAAAAATAGAGATATCAAGCGAACGGGAAAGAAAAGTCAACGAAAAGGTGATCGCAGGGCAGATAAAGCAAACAAAGAAAAGCGAAAAAGAAGTCGAAAATTGTAACAAAACAGGCCAAACTGCGCAGCCAGAGTCCTCATCTAAAGTACTACTCTCCAAGAAAGAGGTGGATGTTACCACACCAACAGAAGTAAGGTCACGCGACAAGCAGACACTGAATGCGAAATGTAGTTCTAAAGAAAAGTTAACGGAAGACTACAAATCGCAAAAAGAAAGGAGTAGAAGTTCTGTCGTTGGGAAGAAAAGAGCAACAGAAGAGCACAAAAATACGCTCTCGAAGGCAGCAGTGGGTATCGAAAGTCTAGAGAAACGCGCAAAGTTAGAACTGTGTGTGCAGAAAAAAGAAAATGCGCACAAAACTCCTGAGAGCTCAAAACAAAAAGAAGTTCCTTGCCATTCATCGAAATCACTTTCTGTTATTAATGATTCAGTCGCAAGTCATTCCAAAATAGTTGAATCAAATACATCCCAGCGTGCTGAGAACACACTCGCCAAAATTCCAAAGCGACGCAGATCATATGCGAGCACAGATGATGAGCCCGAAGTAATGCCCAAATCACGCAACCGCAAACGCTGCAAAATGCGCATCGAAGACAGTGATGACGAGGTGGAGGAGGAAGCGCGCAGCTCGGAATTATCAACGACTGCACAGCCAGCACAAATGCCATGCGAATTTAGCGCGTCTGATTTGCCACAAAATAGCGACATTCTCGAGATTCTGCAGAATGATAAAGCCAACGAGTCGAATGGCATACTGCCTGCACCGCAAACTCCAACATCATTACCGGCCAATATTAGTCAGGATGAGCAATATCGGGAACTTGATTCACGTTTAGAACAAATGTTCGCCTCACCCAAAGTGACTGATAAAACTTCAGCTACAGCTGCGGAGGTGAGACCTATAACAAAATTGGCGACTAACATTGCAGCTATAACGCAAGTGTCGCAGCCCCTGACCGCACAATCTGCTGAAGAACCTACGCATGAAATTCTTGTCTCAGAATTGGCCACGCCTGTAGCTGAAGCGCCTTCGACATCGAATGCAACACCAGCCGTTGACTTCAATGCCTCTGACACTTTTCTCAGTGACATCAGCAGCAATTCGCTGCAAGTTTCCAACATGAATGTTACCATAGATGAAACGGATTACAGCGCATCGCAGAATATGAATTCATCGGTCAACGATAGCAATGCCAGTACGAAGCACATTTCACTCGGAACGAGTGATTATCGTTTTGAAAAGGTTTCGGATAATGTTGTAAATTTATTTATAACGCGCAAGCGTCGCGGCAAACGAAAGCAAACAACTGCGACAACAGCAACAACAATAACAACCGATACAATACCAACAACGTAGCTTGTAATTTTTGGTCAAGTACAATTATAAATATATATTTACAAAATTACATATTTTGTATTTGATCATACTTATGTATGTATTTATTAACTTAACGTACGTACAAAAATGTATGTAAGTACGTATGTTTTTTTTTTAACAATTATAAGGTAACAACTGTGAAGTATTCAACACTATAACAAAAAATTCGAGTATTTTTCGTTGCATTTAACTAAAGTCTTTTTGTGTTAACAAATTAAAAATGCCAATTATATTTATCATAAAATCATATACGTACATATACGTTAAAATATGAAACAGGTGCGAAAATTTTAAAGATGTGCACAAATAACTGCTACATTGTATCAACAACTCGGCAAAGGCACTTCGCTGGCCACGATTCTATTCTTCCTTCTCTTTGTGTTCGCCCACTAGGAAGCGTCTGACGACTGGCACTCTATAAACCGGCACTGACAACAGCGCGCCAACACATGCTCCAATCCAATAGACAATGATGTGCTCCAAATTGGTGTGTCCGCGGCAGCCCCATTTGAGCGCAGTTGCCAGCACGGGATTGAAATAGCCGCCCGAGTAGTTAAATGCTGAAAACATCACATAATTAAAAGCATAAACTTTTCTTGAGAGGGATCTCACGTGTTCCATTGTTGTGCATGGACAGAACTAATGACTAATAGTGTTATTTGGTTGGCTGATTTTCGCTTACCTGCTACCACTAAACTGGTGCCGATGAATGAGTCAATGATGTTGCTGAACTTCGGCTCTTTCTCACTGAGCGCCTTCGAAGCGAGACGACAGAGCAGCGTGGCTAAACCTTCGATAGCGGCGCCGAGATAGGGGTGTACCTGGGGAGTAAAAGTTATAGATTTGTATTTAAAAAATGTCTTTCGAAAATTCATAAATAAATGGATATAATGAGTTCTAGAATAAGGATTCGTCTTCTTTACCAGCACTCTAGGTCCTACATCTTTGCCTTCCGACCGAGTGTACACACAGTCCCGAATTCGGTGTCGGGGCCGTCGGATCGATCGTGGTAAGCGATGAAGGAGTTGATCATTATGCCTACATAAGGTAGTGGCAACCTCTAGCTATTCGTACCAAAAGTTTAAAGATCTACATATGCAAGGGATTTTTTCGATCGTAACAGTTCATAGTGGCAATGAAGTACGTTGAGAAGGAGTTGAAGTGGTCAAATGGTACATCAAAAATCTTGAGATTATTAAACATTGAGTTTTTAAGCTATTGACATAAAAGTACAGTTCAGACCTGGGCTCCATCGTTCTATAAAATGTTGAATGTTTTTGCAATATATCCGAACATTATATCTGTACTTTAAAATGGAACCTTTAACGATGATTTCAAATATAGCTAGAATGGTTGTGAGTTTCGACTGCAAGTCGTTTTGTGAGAGTCAATTCGTATAACGTCGCATTGCCTAAGTTTCGACTCGACTAGAGTTTTGTCGCCAACTTATTTCAGCACGAAACAGATAATGCAGTATGTACTGGGTATAGGTAGGGGCCCTTAAGTTAGCCTTTTTTTGTGTTTAAGAGGAGGAGACGTCGGCTAAGAATCGGCCAAAAAAAAACAAATTTTAGGTGTAATATTTTTTGTATATTTTTGTATTTGTATGTTATTAGGGATCAATAATATTAGAAAACACATGATTTTCGACAACCAAAAACTTTTTTGTTCGTACTGGTTACTATGTCAAACTAAAAAAGGATGCGTTTTGACTCTGATATTGTACCTAAAAAACGCAAAAAATAAAATAAAAATTGCAGAAACCGGCACCTAATTCTTCGACTTGACATAGACAATATAGACTACAAAACCAATACAATACTGGGTAAAATCCTGTCGAATCCACCCAACTTTTATTCCACAGAAGATTAGGTTTCACATGCTAAAACACTTTATCAGAAAGGGCATTTTGTACCACGGCTATGCACTAAAACCCATAAGCACAGGCCACAAACATACTTTTTTTTTTATTTAACACATACCCAAAAATTTCAATTAAACCACTTATCCAAATATTTAGAAAGTTAGAAAAATAAAATTTTTTCTGTAAACAAACTTTGTACTGCAAAAAAGCGCGAAAATACTTAATGCACTTGCTGAAACATGCTTAGTTTGAACGCTCACAGCTGGGCAAATATTGGAAGCAAAAAAAAAATCAAATCCGTTGGTTTGTTAGTTGTAAAAAAAAACAAAGAAATTTGGAGGGATTCGAAAATTTAAAATTTCGCTAAAACGCCAAGCCCTTTCATTTGACACCTCAGTTCTTGTAGCCTAACGAACAGCCCACATTTTTTTTTCCTCCTTCGAAAAATAAAACCTTACTGCAAATCGGAAGGTCAAGCGTTTTCCTTTGACACCTCACTTTTTTAAATTGAATGAACTGTGCAAATATAATGTCATTAACAAAAAATACTCTCGCGTATTATACATACATAATTTTTAAATAGGTGGCAATCCCACTCAAACAAAAAATAAAAACTTATTACACATGCAAAGACCATATCCTTTCACTTGGTACCTTAACTTTTAGTCCAACAAACGGTGATGATCTTATAATTTTTTAAAAGTGGCAACACTACTTAAAAAGTAGTACATTATTGAACATGTAAAAGCTGAGTCCTTTTATTTGACACCTCATTTTTTGCAGTCCAACGAATAATGCGGATCTAATAATTTTTTAGACAGGTGGTAACCCTATATGAATTTGAAGTACTAAAGATAATATACCTATCGATACAGATTCTACTTTAAAAGTCTCGTATAAATCTGTTCAGCGTGGTCAAAATATCTCGACTTTCCTGTATACTATGTATAGAAGATAGTAATTTTTAATAGGTGGCAACCCTATTAAAAAATGAAAGCTTTTGTACGAAGGCCATTTCATTTCATTTGGTATCTCATTTTGTAATCCAACGAACGGCGAAAATCTTTATTTTTTTATAGGTGGCAATCCTACTCTGAAAAATAATACATTTTCATTTGACAGTGACGGTGCAGAACTGATGCCTACGCTTATTATGATTGAATATAGTTATTTTATTAACAGGTGGCAACCCTATTAAAAAAATATTAGTGCTTTTCTAGAGGCTAGTCCCTTTCATTTGGCACCTCTTCTTTTTTAATCCAACGAAAGGTGCGCATCTTATAGTTTTTCAGGCAGGTGGCAATCCAATTGAAATTCGAAGTAAAAAAGTCACTCTCAATTCGTTTAGTAGTTTTCGAGATTACGGGGTACAAAGAATCTTGGCTTTTCATTATACTATGTATAGAAGTAATTTTCTGCGGTGGAATATTTTCTAGTATTCAGATATAATTCATTTCATTTATTGCGAAAAAACATTAGCGCAATAAGATCTACGATCTTTTATAGTACAACAAATAACAGGAAAATTCAGAAAAATAAAATAAATATAATAAATAAATATAATATTAATAAATATAATATTAATAAAAATGTTGTAAATAGTTCTATTTTCAATAAAATAAATATTTGGAATTTTAAGATGAAACTAAGTGAAACCCGGTTTAATCGATTGTAAAAATCCGGTTTACTCAGTATCCCAAAAATCAAGATTACAAAAAAAAGCTTCGTAAACCGATACATATCACCGGCATGGAGCACCCATGATAGGCCTGCCAATTTGTTTCAGAAACGTGGTTCTTATTTTATTCTAAATGGGTAAGAGAGAAATAATCATCTTTTGGTTAAAAATAATCGAATATTTTACGGCACTTTTATTTTTCTAATTGGCACTTTTTTATGCCCAATATGGCACCCCATAGCTTAGGATAGCTGGCAGCCCCGCGCCTATCCTGTTCGAAGGGTCGTCCTCTCCAAAGAATTTGTTGGCCATAGTTGCAGAAATTCCTTGAGAGCATCTACATGTGTTTCTGTATCAAACAAAAAATTTTGAAAAAAGTGTCACGTTTTTCTACACTTGGTTTCTTATTNTCAGAAACGTGGTTCTTATTTTATTCTAAATGGGTAAGAGAGAAATAATCTTCTTTTGGTTAAAAATAATCGAATCTTTTACGGCACTTTTATTTTTCTAATTGGCACTTTTTTATGCCCAATATGGCACCCCATAGCTTAGGATAGCTGGCAGCTCCGCGCCTATCCTGTTCGAAGGGTCGTCCTCTCCAAAGAATTTGTTGGCCATAGTTGCAGAAATTCCTTGAGAGCATCTACATGTGTTTTTGTATCAAACAAAAAATTTTGAAAAAAGTGTCACGTTTTTTGGGCGGTTCTGTTTCTACACTTGGTTTCTTAAGTTGGTTTAAGTTTAGAACATCGGCAGCGAATGCTAATTTAAAATTTAGTGCTTCTTAGAGACAATACCTTAGAAGTGAGACGATATTACTTCCTTACAAAATGAAGTTCATGCATATTCAACAAAAGTCACTTTCTAGTTCTTACCTGTAAATCAGCGTTGCATTCCTCAAAGGCGCGTCCTTTGTGAGTTTCGGCAAATTCGAACCACCAAAAGACTTGAACTATCCTATAGACACAACAGCCGCCCATTAATTCGGCCCATGTACGCAAGGCGACTTCCTTCAATGATGTCTTGCCTTCCACCAGGTCTTCCATGTGTGTATATGGACATGCCGAAGCATCACCCCATACTTTGCCCCACCAAATGGTAAGCATAAATAGAAAGACTGCATAAGCGGCAACACCAAAATTATCCGCTACTACGAAATCAAAGAAAAGTAAATATTTAAGAAACTATTTGAGCAACTTCGGTCTTGTGTAAATATGCACTTACCAATGATTAATTCAAAACAGCAAGCGCATAATTCTGCTGCAGCGATCGCTTCATTGATGAGTACCGGCACGATGCCTTCGCGATCGACGAAACGTTTGGCGAAACGACGAGCTATCTGGGCAAGGACACAGTAACCGATCATGAAACCGGTGCTGATACCCAGCGATGTCATCGACATTTTGTTGATGTATGTATGCTCGGGCGATCCGCGAGTCAAACTTAAACTATTACTTAAGTCTATGACTAGATGGGATGGCTTGAACCGGAAAACATCCAGAAATAGTGTTCCTAAATAGAAAAGATATTGGTTTAAAAAAAGGAAGTTCTCTAAAATTAAAATTAAAATGCGAAATAATGCGTTAAACAAAATTTAGTCTGAACTGAAACTGTGCCTGCAAGTTTTGACGGAAGCATTATAATTTTGCTTGATTTTTAGCAGTTTAAATTGAACTCCCGATGAGGCCGAAAAGCTACTAACTGGTCAAACGAAAAACTTGAGCCTGAAAACGTGCAAGATTGTTGACGGCCGTGGACGGTATCGTAGTAAAACTTATTCGAAACTAGAATGAGCATACATCATTAAAGTTGTGTAGGTTGAATTTCTCATCCAAGTTTTTCAACTATGTCGTAGTTGCTGCATTTAAATGCAGTAAATTTTACACAAAAATATTAATATATTCGCGAAACTATGGGCAAAACATAGTAAAACTACGTATTTATATTTTCACTTTAATGCCAGAATTTTTTTTTAAAAGACCTTGAAATTTTAAGTGATTAATTCAAAAAAATATTTTAAAAATTCAGTGCAATGTAGAATACGGTGGGGGTATTAAATAAAACATAAAATTCTCTAAAATTTTTTTTGGTGCATGATGATGAATGTTTATGGAAAATTACATTTTAAAATTTTGTGCTTGAACATCCTTGAAAATTTGCAGTATTTATTTTTGAAAAAAAAAAAAAATTTATTTCAAGTACAAAGACCACTTCCTTGTAACATTATTAGCTAAAAAATAAAATTAATTAAAAGCGCTTTCCAATAACTATACGTCCTTGTAAACCAAAAAAATTATAATTTTTTGAATTAATCATATCATTAAAATTTCAAAGTCCTTTAAAAATATCCTAACGTCAGAATGAAAAACCAAAAACGCAGTTTAACTGTATTTGGCCCATACCTTCGTGTTATAGTTATTAATCGCTTTGTGTGTTTTGAATATTTATTTATTTTTTTTTGGTTTTGTCGCATGGTGTAACAATACATCCATAGAATTTCGCTGCCAAAGATTCGATTTTCGATTCCGTCCGTTTCAAAGATAACTTTAAGCGATGTTTGATATCAAGTAAGCCGTACATGTATTCCCCAATCCCAATTTGAGTTGAGACTGAGCGTGTACTAGATATCTGGAAGTCTTGAAAGCACTTTGTCAGATATGAAAAAGAACTTCTTCGATAGTACATATTCGAGCATGTTTGCACTCTGGCCGTCCTAATTTCTAGCTCATCACATAACCAAGTCTTTGTGCACTAAGTTCAGTTATCGAAATACCAGCCATCTGTTTCGGAGTTGCGAGCAATCTTTTTGTGTTTGCCTTGAGAAAGAAGAGTAGAGCACAGTTTAATATCCAAGTCTAGCCTTTCTGCCTTTTAAACGACGTCCAAGCTTTTTAATTGGATAAAATCCGTCATCCTTTGTCGAAATTGGTTTGGAAACAAACCGGTATTATTCTTCATCTGGCAAGGCATCAGTGTCACTTATGGTTGCTCCTATTCTCAATACTTCTGTCGTTGTTCTATTAAGCAGATCCAATGGTTTCTTCCTGATATAATCAGGCAAGGCCTTGATTAGGCTTGATATCTTAAAACTCTGTATCCTTTTGGATTATTCCGAGAGGGCATCTTAGTGCCACCCCTTCAGTGTCATTCAAACACGCTCCTGCTTTGAACAATTCATCTGCTTTCACGTTGTCTTCGATGTTCCTATAACCTGGATCCAAGGCAAGAGAGACGAGCATTGACTTTACTTCGTTTTATGTTATTTTATTTTATTTTTTCTTTTAATATAACTTTATTTTGCCTTATTTTTTTTTCTTATTTCATTTCATTATTAAAAACACTGGTTTTCTTTTGGTTTCCCTAGGTATTTTTGCTTGTTATAAAATCTCATTATTTAAGTAATCTTTTCCATTTTCCAAACCCATCGATTTAGATTGGCGGCCCCCTTAAACGCATTCATTTACCTTATAATTTTCTTCAGGTTCACTTGTTTTGTAATCATAATCAAAATGCTTGTTAAAGAAAATTCACTTGTCTCTTGCCCGCTCTCGCCCCTGCGCTATGAATTTGTGCTAAATAGTCTCCACTGAGCAAATTGCATACAAAATTCAGTTTGGCTGGCGATACTAAAAATAGTTTAGCTTTCGAATTTTCACAAAAGACCACCATCGAATGTCTATCACAGTTTTTTTCGTCAAGATCAATTTAAAATATGTTTTTCTAGTTGCATGCAATTAACACATTTTACGCAACAACAAATATTTAGCTACAGCTACAACTTGTAACATCATTTAACTATGCGACCGTTGATCTTCCACGTAAAAAATCAAAGGCGAAAATCATTGATCTTGAGTTTGATCGATTTCTACAGGTACCAAGCGAACGGAAATAAAAAATACTATATACTTGATACATATTTAATGTGTACTCCAATTTACCCGTTAGAACTGCTCCGACCGTTTCGATGGACGGGAGATGACTATTGGTCACCCGCTGATCTCGGAGCAGCGCTGTCGCGACCTCGGACACATAAGCATGCTCATCGTTAGAGAATTATGTTTTTCGTTTGTTTGGGGTTCTCTTATTGTTGTTACTCTTTGACTGTTTACATATGAAAGGCTAGGCATAGATGGCGTGAAAAACTAAATAATTGGGTAAAATTGTCATTTGGTGGCCACAAATGCGTATTTCTTTTGGTAATGTGACGTTTTTTTGTTTGAATACAAGAAATGATTAGTTAATTACAAATCATTCAGAATTTCCATAAGCCGGTTTATTTATGTATTTACATAAATATACACTATGTATACATACATACCTGTCTTTTCTGATAGATAATAACCTCCACTTTTTTGTGAAGTCGGTTAAAAATTAATCATTTTCGATCGAATATAAGTACATATGTACATATATGGACATAATGAAAAGCACACATTTCTTAAAACTTTGAAGATTTTTTAAGTATGTATTTAGTTGGTTTATTTAAACTTTTATTTGATTTCCGTATAAAAAATATTTAGGCCAACTATTCGCAAAAACGTGGAATATTCGGCAGTCGAGAGGATATTTCGTAAAATTTAAATTTATATGATTTTTGAAACTATTTCCAGTTTAATACGGTGTTTACTTGAGGCGATTTTATAGGATACTTTTAGTTGAAAGCAACAATCGCCTGGTGTGAACGATCTTTCAACTAATCGCTTTCAATGAAGTAGGGTGGCAGCCAACCTTCAGATTCAACTAATCGCCTTCAAAAATTGCCGGTAAAATCGTCTCATGTGAACACTGTTTAAGGCAATACTCCTTATGCCTCAATAAGGGTTAAAGTGGTCGCATATGCTGGCGATGTTGTGCTGGTGGTAACAGAACCTTTTACTGATACTGTGAGGAAAATCCTAGAGGAAGCACTGGGTTAACTACACGCGGGCTAAATGTGTTAACCCAAGTAAAATCGAGTTATTATTGTTTATAAATATGTATGATGTATCCAAAGCAAGATATTTGGAAGTCATCGTAGACCCTATAATCAAACCGGAAACTTAACGCTGAAAAACGTAAAAAGAAGACCTTCAACGTTTTCTATACTAAATGATCATCAGTACACCACTATCATAAGGCCAACAAAAGGAAGCAACAGAGGTTACCCACGGCACCCTAGTATGGTGACCAGCTTTAAGTCGACAGTAAAATGCGAATAGACTAAGTTGCACACAAAGAGCGGCATGTTCGGGGATTACTGGGGTATTGAAATCCTCCCTTCAGGAGCACTGAATGTCATTTTCAATACGATTCCCATTGATCTTTACCTAAAGGAAATCAGTAATCAGCACCAAGACTCAGGGATTCGCGGTTCTGGGAAACGAAGACCTTTGGTCATAGCAAAATAGAATCACGGAATACATGGTATCAAGCCTGGTTTTGGCTTGAATGTACTTGTGCAGTTTCCCTTCAGAAAGAAATTGAGAAGGGGTCAAGCGGCTGATGAGGAAGCCATCAGTATCTACACTGACATATCCAAGATAGACTGCGCTGTAGGGACTGGAGTCTATTGAGAGGAGCTTGCTGTCAATCGGTCGCTGTGGTTGGCAAACCATGGTAGCATATTACATACTGAAGTCCTGGGAATATGTGAGGCCTATAGGAATGTAAATACTAGTGCTACCAGGAAAGAAACAGCGGTGATTTTCTCAGATAGCTATGCAGCACTCCAAGCTATATCATTTACTGAATCCAAGTATAAGGAAGTCATATAATGCACGGTTAAACTACGATCTATGACTCAGTCAATGTCCATCTCTCTTGACTGGGTTCCCGGCTATAGAAACATAGAATGCAACGAGAGAGCAGACGATATGGACATGGTGGGAGCTTGCTTGGTTGAATCGAGCGGTGGTACTGGGATACCCACTCAGAAAAATATAATTAGAAATCCACTTGCAATTTCTGAAACTAGCAAGGAGGAGGTGAACAGAGATCCAGATTTGCAAGATAGCAAAGGTGGAATTATTTAGCATTGTAGCAGCTATCACGGGTCACTGGCTACTTGGAAATCATGCGTATAGAATAGAACTGCCATACAACGACTGACTTCTATAAGACATACAACTTCCGGGAAATAATACTGATGCAGTTAGCGGAATTTATCTGATGCTACAATGAGCGATATGCACAAATTAAACGGCGGCTCAAAGGAATTTATTTAATTGGAAAAAGGTTTGAGGATAGGCTAGAATGAAATTGTCGACGATAAGTGCAGCAAAATGGTGGTATTATGCGGTAACTGAATCCTGAGTGGCATTTTGTGAGATAGTGCATAGTACAACGAACCAATCAACCTTAGGCTTCAGACCTAGTGCATAATAAGAAGGTTTATTGTGTTAATTTTATTCACTTGATACCCTCTTAATCATTCTAGAAGATAATTTAGGTAGGCCTTCTTAAGTGAAGCCATTCTAAGAGTTCTACCCAAGAAGGGCTGAAAAAGTGCTTCCCTGCATGCCTTCTAGAAGGGCTTATTCATTTACAATTTACGCGAATTCATAAAAGGGTATTTTTTAGCATTACAAATGAATTTCAATAAACATTTTAAGTTGCAGTAACACATATTTGTTATAAGCCTTAAGAAAATATTTTAAAGATGTATGATTTTTATAAATTAAAGAAGCAACTTTAAAAGAACTCCTCCAGACGCCCTTCTGGAAGGCGTTCTATGGGTAGCAAAAGAAGAAGCTCTTCAATTTGTGCCACTCCATACAAAAAAGAAAGGAGAAAAGAATGTAGAGTGGAAGGCCTCTTGACATCCAGGAAGGCCTTTCGGAAGGGCATTAAACTCCTGAAATTATCTACTGGGTTGCTTTTGTTTAGCGCAGAACCGATACACGGTAAGCTTCGTTAACAGGCACACTACGGAAGGAAGAGTCTTTGCTCCGTTTATCCGCAATATTGTATCCCAAATAGGAGTGCTTCTTCCTATTTTTTTGAAAGTACACCGAGCTAAAAATGCCGACACTTAAACCCCCTATGTTAGACCTAGGAATGTTAATGTGTTAATGTGTCCCGGGATTCTTGGCACATAATCCCTAGATTTTCGGGATTTGTAATTTGCACTGATGGCAATAATAGAAACTCTTCTTCTTGGCCAGCATTGGCTATATTTCTTTTTTTATTTAATAATAAATATTTTTCTATGAATGTCAAGCTCATTATACATACATATAACACCGCGGGTTAGTAAATTTTAAACACAAATATCAAAATATTCGCGAAACCATGGGCTAAATATAGTAAATTCGCGTTTTTTGTTTTTCACTCTGACGAATTGATTTAAAAAATTCAGAGAAATGTGCTTACAGAAAAAGTATGGGTATCAAATTAAAGAGAAAATTCTTTAGAATTTAAACAGATACAAGTTTTTGGTGCGGAAGTACTGATAAGCATGATAAAAACATAACAAGGTAAAACCATTGAGAGGCAGTCTGACGTTTGCCAACAATATAATTTTAAAATCAAAACTCAAACTCACACACACATTCTCATTTTCAATCTCAAACAACAACAATTGTGAACAATTTAATTTTTTTATTTTCAATTTTATATGATTTTAAAATGTTGGCAAACGTCAGAAAAAAATCATGGCCGACGAAATGAGAGAATGAATTTACCTTGTAATGTTTTTATCATGCTGATAAGTATTGAAAATGTCCTTTTAAAATTGAATTTTTATAATTTCACAATATTTGTTTTTGAAAAAATTATATGTTAAGAACTTAAATAAACTCGATAACATCCTCGAATTCCGTCCTTCTGACTTCATCAGCTTACATACCTATTCGTTCTTGTGAATCCAAAAAATTTTAATTATTTTCAATTCCATAAAATGGAATTAATCATATATTTGAAATCTTTATAATAAATCCTGACGTCAGAGAGAAAACCTAAAACCGCCCCTATAAAAAGTAGGTTTCACACCCATTTATTTATTATTTATTTTATGGTAGGTTTAGGTCTCAAACAATATTGTTTCGATTTAAGTTGTTGAAAATAATGAATATCCAAATCTCGGGATTATGATAAGGACAGCATGCTTCAAAAAATATCGCGGTTACTGGCTAATTTCAATTACTCGGTGACCAATATTAGAGTTGCTGGCAAAACTTTAATCATGGCATTTAGCACATGAAAATAATATTCGATTTCAATTGAAAAGATATTAAACATCTTGCAATTATTACACCACATAAAGTTCTTTCTGATACTTATGTATCAATTTTGCACCTACTCGACCAATTTCCTGCATTCGTAAATGATACAGACATAATTGAGTTTGTAAATTGAAGCTGAGTGAAGGTAACTTCAAAAACTGTACCAATATAGAACGTTTTTGGGATCAAGCAAGTTTGATTAAAAATGGATTGGGTGAAGCGGCATTTGGAGAATTGTGTGATTTAGTTCATAACATTTTTAGACTGCCTCATAGTTCCGCAGCAGCTGAGCGCAAATTTTTTGATTTAGCATTAATAAAAACGAAATTAAGAAACAAATTATAATGTAAAACTTTGAACAATATAGTGGTAATAATATACAATTGTACTGCACTATGGATGCAATAAAAAAAAAAATCGTTATAAAAACTGATTTGGCATATTTTCTTGATAAAAAGGGATAAACTCGACACAATCTCCCGATGTAATAAATATTAGTCCATTTTTGACTATTTGGCCCATTTTTTGGTCCGAAAAATAAATTGGAAATGGCAACCGTGGAGATATCGAACTAACATGAGAAGGCAACATCGCGTGGACGACGGGCACGAAGAAAATGAAATATCCAACAATATAAGCTTTTTAATGGACAATAATTTTTCGGAGAAAAGATTCTTAGACGCGGCATCGAAGAAAACGAAACCATGAGCGCACACGAACACAGTGAAATCACCCAGTGCGGAAGGACCTGCTTGTATTTCAGATGAACAACCGGCGTAAATTCTGTTCTCGGCCCAAACCGATAAGCGGGTTTTCAACAAAATAAGCTAACACCTTCGGTGAAAATCTGATTTTCAAAAATAATGTTTGGTACTCATAGTTGAAAGGAAGTAGGAACAATTGCAATAATAGCACAGTAGATTTTAACAACAAAGCCACATTGTCGGTCTTTACTTGTTAAAAGGCGTAGGGGTATTATGGGATCTTTGATTTAGGAGTGTATTTAATTGAAAAGAAAGTAAATCATGGACTACATACTTAGTACATACTTAGAATAAAGTAAGCCGGGTTTGTGTCATCTAAAATCCACAGGCAGATGATCCAAAATAGCAATTAGAGAGTAAGTTTTCATAGTTATGAAAAATGTACCAGATCTTTACTTTTATTTAAAATATTGAGGTAGATAGTTTTTCTTGAGTTATGGTGTCATAGTCATCAATCAATCGCTTCTTCATACATGAGAATCGTTCTTACGATATATTACGTCCAAGCCGAGTGATGGTGATATTGGCTCCGTAAAAATTTCCTCCGCAAGTCTCGCCCTAAAAGAAGCAAAATTTGTGTTTTTTCATATTGTTCATTTCCAGGCTTGGTACACAGTATCGGTCATAACAATAGCACCAGCATTTCAAAGTGATATTGTTTGCCCATTATGTTTATTTATTTATTTTTAAGGATTCTCATTCTCTAACAAAATCTATATAAGCCCATCTTTAAAACTTTGTAGAAAACTAATGAAAATGCTACAAATTTTCATTTAAATTTCAAACTTTTTTCTCAGAAGTGTTAGAATTTACAGTTTTAAAGCCCATTCAGTTTTAGTGCAATAATGTGCAAGTTTCAAGTGGCTAAAAATTACCGTTGATTCTTAGAATTATTTTTAGAGGATGTTTTCGTTTTCTTGCATATAAAAATAAATTGTGTTTATTCGTTAAGCTGCTTTTAAACGGACCGATTTCTATCGACTGAGGAATTGACTAGCCAAAACATTTAAATTTACGGTTGAATTGCCATTTACATGGGTCGATTTTGGTTGAACGACAAAAATCGACTAAAGGCAGCTTTATATGGAAACAAATGCGACATGCGACGCTAATTTTTAGCCACTAGAAACTTGCACATTGCCACATTAAAATTGAATGGGCAGTAAGATTGTATAATCAAAAAAATGCAACACTTCTAAGAAAAAAGTTTGAAACTGAGATACAAATTTGTTGCACTTTTTTAAGTTTTCTTCAAAGATGGGTTTAAATAGGTTTTCTTAGAGAATGAACTGTGTTTTAATTGAAAATTTGTAAATATAAATAAATAAAAATACTAAGTGGCAAACACTTTGAAAGGGGTGCTAATGATATGACCGATACTGTACAACGTTGAAAAGTTAACTACCGGTCATAACCAAAATCAGTATAAAAAAAAATGTTTATTTTATTATTAAAACCACGGCTACGAGTATGAGTAGTTAAGAGCTTAACTATTTTATAGAAACACAATGTTCCCCAAGCAGAAACTACATAGGAGTCTCTAGTTTTTAGGCAAAAATTATTCAAATATTCATTGCCGCCATTTATAGCGGAAATTCAAGTTTCCCAACAACAATTTCATTTCCGGTTATTTTCGGTAATCGAAAGCTACCAGCTGACTGTCAAATCAACCAGCTGCGTTTGTTTACATTCGAAGTTAATCAGCTGTGCCAGCGCGTGTGTGTTTACAAATTTTAACTAAATAAATAGAAGGTAAATTTAGTTATTTCTTGTTAAACATGAATTAAATGAGAATTCTAATATGATTCTAGATGAGCATCTGTTGTTTAATACGCAAACGTGTATGCGTAAATTTGTTGTATCACCCTCCTTCGCAAGTTTACTTGTTCAATACCTACTCCATATGGAGTAGAACATCATTACTTGCGCAACCAGCAGCTCTTAAGTCCAATTTTGGTTCTGTTAACTATGCCACCGCTGCCTCAACCGCCACTGGAAGTAAGTCCAACGAGTGGCTAACTATTTATCGACTGCCGCTGATACGCCTTGCTGCCGGTTTTCAACGTCTGAAAATCTACCAAGGCGGGCTCACGGCACTGGCACTACCAATTACTATTGGACTATCGGAACTCGGACAAGTGTCACCCAACTCAGTTGCGATAGTAGGTGTTATTGGTGCCTCAGGTCTTTTGACATTGTCATTATGTAGTTTGGTTGTGCGCAACGTCGTTGGATTCATGTACATCAATGAAGAGCGGGACAAAGTAAAGGTGGCTTATGTTAATTACTGGGGCAAGCGTTGTGAAGCAGTTGTGGACATTAATGATTTGGATGTCGATTGGACGAAAGTACGGCCGACTGTTTTTAATTTGTATCAGAAGATTCGTTTGTATAGCAACAAGAATCAGTCTTTTAAATTATTGATGAATTATGGGGTTGTTGTCGAACCTGAAATTTTTACAGGAATATTTGGCGAATAGAATGTAGTGCGTAGAACACAAGAGGTAGTATATTTTACGACTTATTTGCATTATACATCAGACGTTGGTGATTTTTTGCACACTCAGCTGAAAAAATTAACTTTATAATTTAGCTAAAATAGTGTGTACAAAGGTATCTTAATGTAAAGTAAGTGTTTAAAGTTAGATTTTATTAAAAAAATATATGAAAGACCGTTAAATAAACATAACGTCCCAACCATGTAATATATGCACGGGTGTAGGAAAAAAATTTCTTGTTTGGAATGTACATATTTCGATTTACATACGTCACCTGAAATGCAAAAAGACGTAACATCATCGTAAATGAAATGGAAAAGTCGTAACTACACCTTTTCCAATAGTATTTCAGAAAATCACAAATGTATTTCCGAAAACTACAAATGATTTTCAGAAAAACTCAATTAATTTTGAGAAAAGGCCAAATGTGTTTCAGAAAACCTCAAATTATATTCAGAAAACCTCAATTGATTTTCAGAAAAGGCCAAATGTGTTTAAGAAAACCTCAAATTATATTCAGAAAAACTCAAATAAAATTCAGAAAAGGCCAAATGAATATCAGAAAACCCCAAATGTATTTCAGAAAACCCATGATAAAAATATAGTAAGGTAGAACCGCTGAGAGTCACTTTTAAAATTCTTGACGTTTCCAAACAATTTAATTTTTAAATTTACTCACAAACTCACACACACATTTTCATTTTCAATCTCAAGCAACAACAATTTCGAACAATTTCATTTTATTATTTTCACATTTATATGATTTTAAAATGTTGGCAAACTTCAAAAAAAAATCATGGCCGCCAAATTGAGAGAACGGTTATACCTTGCTATGTTTTTATCATGAGAAAACCCCCAATGTATTTCAGAAACACTCAAATGAAATTCAGAAAGGGCCAAATGTATTTCAGAAAACCCCAAATGTATTGCAGAAAAACACAATTGAAATTCAGAAAAACATTGGGAAATTGGGTCAAAAAGGTTATTCAATAAAAGGTTATCTCTATTTTTATAATTTTATCGTAATTGTTTGATATTTTTTTTTGTATAGCTAAAGAAACAAATCACAAAAAAATTAAAATAGCTCAATAACAATTTCGCGATAACTTAAAAGTAAAGCAGAGCTAAATTAAAATAAAATCAGTGACTTAAAAAAAAAAATCGAAATACTAATTATTTTCAGTACCTACCTATTCACGCATATCAGAGTTTAAAACTGATAGACACATTTGGTTTAAATATTTATTAATTATTTTGTTATTTATTCATAAACACATATTACATAGTACATAACAATTGCATATGCGTGTACATGTATATGTACATAAGTATATGTATTTATACTAAAAAGCTGTCAAAATATTTTATACTTAGTGTCCCTGAAGAGTGAATTAACTACTTATATTATACTTTATTTTTAATATTTAAGTAGTATAACTTATGTTGTAACTTATAAGTTATAACTAGGGATCATTCTTAAGCATCGTAATGTCTTATCTTAAAGTCATAAATATGTTCCAAGGTAAAATAAGGGTTTAAGGGCATTCAAAGATATAATAGGCGTCATCGATTCGCCAACAGTTAACGACTGGCGAAACGAACGAACTCAATGAGGTACAACCAAACTCGCTGTCGTCTATCCGTGCTAGCTAACTTTGTTGCTGCTTTCACATGCAAAATTTTTCGTTAAGCGACCGGATCTCAAACATGGCAAGCAGCGATGTGGCGAATCGATGACGGCCTATAGTTCTGTTCGCTATGCAAAAAACTTGTACAAGCTGTTACTAAATAGCGTTCGTTTGAACAAAGAACCTGTAAAACTTGCAAGTAGAGAGCACAATTTTGACATTTCATTTGAAGAGGAAGTTGCAAGGGTGCCGCCCATCTCCGTACCGCAATTCCGCTTTCAGTGAATTTGACAGAATCGCCGTTTGTTTGACGTTACAATTGTGCAACTTATTAACGTGTTTCTTGTAAAATTTCTCCCCTTCTTGCCCGCGTTTTGGCATTTATCTCTTGCAACTGCACCAGTGTGACGTCACACAAAAATTATTCTCAAAAATCCTGTCCGAAGGGCGTATCCTTGTATTCTATCATTCTGGGCTAATTATATATGTATTTTCTAAGAGTTTAAAAATAATTTTGTGTAGTTACGAATGCCATAAAAACAGTTTAAATGCAATTTTACCTAGAAAAATTTTACGACTTTAGGGCATTACAACGCTTAAGATGTCCTGTTAAATATTTAACAAATACATACGAATGTATGTATGTTTAAGGCATGTCAGGCAAGTTTTCACTGCGCTATTGATGCGTATTAAGGTTATTGTAAAAAATTATTTTAGTGGCAGCTACTTCGGCTCAGCTTGCCTCGTCGCGGTGTTCTGTTGCATTGTCTGCATCTGCACTTGTACCCTCTGGCCGCTCGTCTAACACAATCGCATTGGATGGTTTCTTATCATGCTTATCATTTGCCAGTTGTTTTGCTTCCGCGACCTGTTTTGAAAATGCGTACAAGGAAGGTATTATTTTTATAACTCGCTACACAAAATAAACATATGTACATATTAAAAAAGCTAAAACACTTGTACGTAATAGGCTGCACTTAAGAAAGGCATAATTATTTTTATTTTTAAATACATACATATATGTATATACAGTTCTGTTAAAGCGCTTAAGTACTCACCGTGTCAGGTAACTTTTTGCGGAATGTTTCTGGCAACAACAACCCTAAGATGCCCGCCGATAAGGATGCTGCTCCGAATAGTAGCAGCGGTAAGGCCTCATAATATGTACCCTTTATTATTTTTATTTTGGAACAAGTGCAAAAATAATTTTCATGAATTTCTTAGCCGACGTTTAAGCAGAAAAAGTACTAATACTTTACCAAAAGCGGCACAAAAGGTGCTAGCATTGCGCCAAAACGTGCAAACGTAGACATCACTCCAACGCCACCACTCCGTATTAACTGCAATTGGGTTGGGGAAATAAAAACAAAAAAATTAACAGCTGTTTGTGGCGTAAGAAACGGAAAAAATATTTCGCATGCCTAATTCGTATGAGTGCATTTAAGATACATAAGTACCTATGTATATCGTTGCCTTAATATAGAAAGGCCCTATCTGACATCGTCGCTGATTTACAAAAAGTCGTAACTAACTAAAAATCGAAAATTTACGTTTTAATTGAATTTGATGCATTTGATCGAATTATGTGGCCCCAAATCGTTTTATGCAATAAAAGAAGTTTAGTTAGTTACGGCTTTGTGCATTTCAGCGACGATGTGAGATAGGGCCTTTCTATATTAAGGCAACGATATGTATGTATGTTTGTATGTCATAGATGCAGTTACTAGTCAACAATGCAAAAAAACAGTATTTTAAACATAAATACAAACAACATGAATTGTATGAGTAAAACGAATGTGTCGAAATGCAAGACCAAAAAACTGCGCTTACATATTTAAAAGCTTAAATAACAATAAAATTATTAAATAAACTAAAAAAAATGCAGCGGCTTTCGGCTATACATACATACATATATTTAGGGGATTCTCAAGTCGTGTTTAGCGATGTCAGACTTAGTTTTTGCTCTGATGAAGTGAGCTCAGGCTCAAGAATTTTTACTGAAAATCAAGTGGGAGCTTAAGCTCACTTTTTATGCATGAGGCCCAATGCCTCAAATTATTCAAATTTGTATATGCAAAATAGCGGTTAAAAACGTTAAAAGAGATTTCCTATCAGTTCAAAAAAATATTCTGAGTTTCGCCTGAAAAAAAAATTCACCCGAAAATTTGTCATCCGCTCATAGTAAAACTATGGAAACCAAGAGTGAAAAGTGAACCGGTTCGGGGAAAATGAAACTCATGATAAGGCTGATTGGTGCAGTTACAAATCTATTAAACTAGTATTGACACATTTTTAGACTTTAAGACATTACTACGCTTAACACGTGTTGTGAATCCCCTAAAAGTACCTTAAAATAAAAGAAAATAAATTAAAATTAAATTTAACAAATAAATTAAATACAACTAATTTACACATAGTTAAATTGGATAAAATGAAAAAATTCAATTAAAATAAATTCAACTAAACTAAAACAAAATAAAATAAAATTAAAATTAAATAAGATTAAAAGGGACGGGCTTGAACCGTTTGAAACGCTTTTTCTACTTATTAACTGGGTCTGGTGGTGAACGAGGACAAAACGCAGTATCACCTGTCATCACACAATCAGTCAGAGCATACGCGTCTTGGCACCCACGTCCCTGTTGACAGTTACAAGTTTGAAAAAGTAGACGACTTCGTTTATTTGGGAACCAGTATTAACACCAATAATAATGTCAGCCTTGAAATCCAACGGAGAATCACTCTTGCCAACAAGTGCTATTTTCGGACTGAGTAGGCAATTGAGAAGTAAAGTCCTCTCTCGTCACTTTATAAGTCACTCATCATACATATGCTGGGGTATGGCGCGGAGGCATGGACATCGAAAACATCTGATGAAGCGGCTCTTGGAGTTTTAGAGAGAAAGATTCAGCGAAAGATTTACCGACATTTACGCGTTGGCGATGGCGAATACCGCAGACGATTTAACGATGAGCTGTATGAGCTTTACAACGATATAGACATAGCGCAGCGGGCTTGGTCATGTCGTTCGAATAGACAGAAACGCTCCTGCTTTGAAAGTATTCAACGCGAGCCGCGATGCTGGTAACAGAGGAAGAGGAAGGCTTCCTCTGCGTTGGAACGACCAGGTGGAGAAGGACTTGGCTTCACTTGGCATTTCCAATTGGCGTCAGTTAGCCCAGAAGAGAAATGACTGGCGTGCTGTTTTGGACTCGGCCAAAATCGCTTAGGCGGTTAGAGCGCCAATAAAAAAGAAGAAGAACTGAATCATTAACCCAACCGAAATTTTCTGCAAATGTTTGATGCGAACCGAACCACTTCTCATAGAGGCTAATGTTCGTTTCGGCCAATTTTTAATAGAACAATTTTCTCACTTTTTTGCGTTTCTTAAATATGGTAATACTTGTTTTTGTTCGGAAATGGTGTTACTTACACCTATCTTAGAAAATGCATTATAATCAGTTTTGTATAAAGAACAAGATTCCATCGCTAAATTTTAAAAATGAGAACTTAAGAAGATACATATCGTCGTTTAAAGTGCAAAACTGCGTATGAAAAATAGAAATGTATAAAATTTAAAAAATTAAGTAAAACAAAGTAAATCAAAATAAGATAAAATGAAATAAAAAATAAAATCAGATAACGTGAAATAAAAAGATA